ACTAAAGAAATATAGCAATAAAAAATGAAAAATGTACATTAAAATAAATGCAAGTTCATGAGAAAGTATATAAAAATCACAGAAGTACCATTAAAAAGGTATAGAGTGTCCATTCAGTAAATATTCATTTGATTCCTCAATTTTAGTTTAAACTTGTTGATATTTGGACTACAAAGCTCTCAAGTTGATTTGTTGGCAAAGAGTGACATCTACAATGGCACAGCTGTTGTTTGTGATGCTGCAGGCATCACCCTGCTAGGGGGGTCTGGGGGCATGCTCCCCCAGGAAATTTTGAAGACTGGAAGTAGCTAAGACGTGTTTTCCTTCTTTCTGAGCAGAAATGTCATGCTTTAAAAGTAAGTAATTAGATCCCAGAATTTTCTTTTTATTGGACCAATATTGACTCTTTCTTAAAGTGCTACTGAAACGGAATTTTCGTATCTGAAATTTTTGCTTTAACCTGTAGTTTTGAATATCCTGATCATCATGAGATAATTTGCTTTGGCCAAAAATAGGCGAAAGATATCTTTTTTAACCGTTTAAGTAAAAAATTTTACACAAAACCATATCCGGGCTCTGGTACCGAGCGAAATGGATTGATGACATCACTGGTTGTGCTCACTCCGATAGCGTGATTTATTTCACTCACTGTTTGTTTATATTCGTGGGCGAAGGAGATGGCAGATATTGAAATTTTGTCAAGTGAATCTTCTTCTGAACGAAGCGAAGTTGTCTCCAGTAGCGAAGAGGAAGGTGGTGCCGTAAAATGGGGTTGACAGGCCTACATGACTCCCCAGCGAGTGTTTAGAGTAGCCTATTCAAAGTTTAGCCCTCACGAGTATGGCTTTGAGCGACCGCTCTCTTTTGTAAGATACGAGTGGCGGATTTTTGTATAGCTTGCTCAGTAGTGGTTGTGTTTCTATTAAATGCCAGTTTTTCATGAGAATTTGCTTTGTGTGGCGCTGAGTACGCACATCAGGGATTGCGTCTTTTTCGAATGGTTTGCTTTTGTAGATGTAGAGCTATTTTTTTGACTGTCTCGATCGTTAAGTTGTATTGATTGCTTTCAGCTTGCGCCACGCACACTGATTTGATCGTACTACAGTTCTTAATATTCAGTGTTCCAGCCGTTTTGGCTCGTTTTCTTTTCTTTATTTCGGTATTAAAACGACTGATTTCACGTTCATAGAAGCACATGATTGCCTTTACTGTTTCTTGCTCCACGTTGTTAAGAATTTGCTTTATCCCATTTTTGAAATCCTCGTCTGCTCTTATTTTGGCCCTCGCCCTATATTGTAGGGAATCTGGGCATGTTCTGCTAGGCATTTGGTACACTCATTTGGTTAGAGCGCTGGACTGTTGTGCGGGAGGCCGAGGTCGATGGTTCGAGCCCCGGCCGGACCAACACTCAAGGTCTTAAAATAACTGAGGAGAATGCGCTACCTTTCTATAACATCAAGAAATGGATAGACATTCTAGTCTTCTCGGATAAGGACGAATAAACCGTAGGTCCCGTCTCCTGCATCTATTAATTAGTTAATTTGGTTAGGCAGGGGATGTTAAAGGACCCACATCATGAGATTACTGTCAGGTGGTCTGGCCTGTTTACTGGGAATTGGGGGGAGGGGGTATCTTCAAATAAGTTTCCTTCGATTGTTTGTAAACTGCTGATGCAGTCCAGCCAAAGTCCCCCGAAAAGTGTTGTGATGCGCCTTTGATCATATCCACATGTTAATTTGCGCAATATAAAAATATAATTATTAATTATAGATTTCAAAGTGTGTGTGAAGGTTATTCCAGCTTAAAATCTTGTATAAATAACATAACTGCACCTCAGCATTGGGCAAGAACATTTAAAGCCCTGCAATTTGCCAAACACAAAGTCGAACAAATAGCATTAATACAAAGTGTATTTCATTGGTAAGACTAGGTCCTTACTTTCTCTTGGATGTTGGAGTTTGGTTGTCTGAGAAAGTTTGTGATCACCGGTTTTGCATGTTCCTTGGCAAGTGTAGTGTGCTCATCGCTAGCAATTTGGCGCTTAAGATCTACTTCTCCTTGATGGGCACATGACAAAGTACGATTGCAAACGTTACAGTGAAATAAAGATTTGTCTGAAGTGACAGAAGAAAGAAAAGGGTACTTCACTATCCAGTCTTTTTCCAACTTGCTTTTGTATTTTGCTGCTTCGGCATATTTGGCCTTCTTCACGACAGGAGAGTTGCAGTCCTACTCTGAACTGGAATCCGCCATTATATGGTCTATTTTACCAGGTCAGCATGTGAACATGTGCAATAGTGATGAAACCCACTGGCCAGAGAAACGCTGGCTCTGGACAAGAATAAAGTGTTTGAAGCGAGTATAAACTAAGCGATATCATAAAATTCAACAGTTAAACAAGACTTACCTGTAAGGTGAAGTTTGATTGGAATTCTACGAGTCATTGGTCAGGAGTGTAGGAGTCACGTGAGACTTAAAAGCCTGTGGGATTAGGAGCCATAAGAAATAACAAAAGAAAGGAAACAACAGTAGTAAACTAAACTAAAGCGATTTGTATTGCTGTACAAGATGCATATAACAAGATCTTAAGAGGTACAAGATCTCAATAGCTCATTTCCATAGGTATTTTAGCTGACAATAGGCAAGTTGTAGAATTTCTGGAAGGTATCATAATTAGACCATCCAGCATTCCTCATGATGGTATCCACAGGTATTTGTGCTGCCTTAGCATAAGAGGTAGAAGCCCACCTGGTGCTATGAGCACTAAACAGACTAGTGTTAATACCAGATTTGCTTAGTACGTAATTAATCAAGTTTCTAACTGTATCTGCTGAAACTGGCTTATTTGGTTTTTTGTAACTTAAAAGCAGCTGAGATACACCCTGTCTAATAGTACTGGTCCGCTTAATATATTCTAGCATGTAAGTAACAACACACAACCGAGGATCTGGTAGATAAGCAATAAACTGTAGGCTGGAAATGTACCTGCCAGGCCTCAAAGTCTTAAACAACGTTTTGACAACAAAAACACAATTATCAGGGCTTAATTTCATATCTCTCACACTCAGAGAGTGCAGTGTTTGGTGTCTCTGTCCTTACAAAAGGGCCAATAACATAACCAACTTGTGAGTTAAATCTTTCAATGTAAGAGATTCTGGAGGATGTAGAGTTTGCAAATAACTAAACACTTGTTTGACGTCCCATGTCTCTGAAAATTTAGGAAGAGCAGGTCTGGATTCAAAAACCCCTTTGATGAATCCGCTGTCTAAAGGATGACTTCCAAAGCTCTTACAACCATCAATCAGGAGGCAGGTTTACAAAGCACATCTAGCAGTGTTAATAGCACTGTATCCTACACCAGTAGGGTACAACTCAGCTAAGAAATTCACCCCCATTTCTACAGAAGTTTAAAAGAGATCCTTTTCCCTTTCACTGCAGTACTGCTTCCATCTCTTAACGTAGGGTTCCTACTGCTTTTTTTGTACTGTTTCACCATGAGCCCATGACAAGGACGGTAGCCTGCTCTGATAGTCCCTGACTTTCGAGTTGCTCCCGGATACATGATATGGGAGCTAGTACTAGCTTTGGGTGTGAACTTAGTCTGTTTGACTTGGCTGAAATAACAGGTCTTTTTTCCGAGGCAGTTCCAGAGGATTTTGAATTACCATTTTCCTTAGTGTCAGCCACCATGGTTGAGTGGGCCACTTTGGTACTAGTATGAGTCCTGTGGCCTCCTCTTCTTGAATTTTCTGAAGAGCTAATGCTATGAGACTGAAAGGAGGGAAGGCATAAAAATAAATATGATTCTCATGATAATGTAAATGCATCTATTGCAACAGCTTAAGGGTCAGGTTGGTTTGCCACTAATAGTTTAACTTTGTAGTTTAGCCTTGAAGCAAACAGGTCAATGTTAGGTTTAACACCTAATTTGGCCATTGCATCACAGTACACACTTGAGTTTAGAGCCCACTCTGTTCCCATGTTTGTATTTCTGCATTCTTTGTCAGCCAGAACATTTAATATACTGGGGATGTGGGCTGTAGATAGCCATATATTATGATCAAGACACCAGTCCCATATTATGCGGGCTAAATTGTTACAGGATGGCAAGTGACTGGGTACCTATGTGTGCAAGTGTTGAGACAACTGTGGTGTTGTCAATCATCACCCTAACAAGGACATCCTTTTGTAGAAGCTTTTCAATTTAAGTGTTGAGACATCCATCTCAGATTGTTTTGCACACTGTAATGGATCTTCCTTTTGAAAAGGTATAGATTGAAATTCAATATGTAGGCCCTGAACCATAGAAAATATCTCTTGGTCAGAACTGATCAATTTCCAATTGTCGACATAATCAGCCAGTTGACCAGCTTTAAAGCAGTCTGCTCTCAAAGTAAAATAATTTGTAAGAGCAGGCTTAAGCGATGCAAACTTATTTATGTCTACGTGGTCAAGTAAATCATTCAGTGAACAGTTAGCACACACTGCTTCTTTTTCTCCCACTGTTTTTTTCTGGCTATAATGGGGTGTCTCTCCCCTCTGGCCCAAAAAAGACTTTGCATTTTTGTAGTTATTGCCAGGTTTGTCGTGGAAGCAGCGACTAGAAGCACCAGTGGTAAGGTTGCTAATTTTGTTCAAAGCCTACTGTTGAGTTGGGACTGAAGTTCATCTCCAAATAATTTACCAGTGATTGGAATGTGGGGCGAACACAAAGCACTATATTCCTTGTTCAAGCAAGGTCTGATTAAATCATGACGGTGCTAGGACAAACTCTTATTTCAGTGACCCAACAGTGCAATGAAATTTGTATTGAAGGTAAGAAGTTCCTCCAGATTTGAGGTGATATTGGAGTTTTTTGAGGTGGCAAGTGCAGCCATAAGTTTGCTGGCCGAGCCAGTGAAGATGGCCCCAACTTTTGAGACTGCCTTCTCAATGGCCGCTAAACAGAGATCCCTCCATAAGGTGGGACTTAACCTAAAAAAGACCCCTTTTTTCAAGGACTTGTCACATCCACAGTTTTTAATCAAACCATATAAAACCATATATCACTGAAAAGCTAATGAATCACAGATTTCAGTTTTTTCAATTATTTCTGCACACAGTTTATTTGTAACCTGATACCAGCAAAATATTGTTACCCCATACTGTGCACAACCCACATGTACTCTAGAAAAGAAATCTTGATATGGAATGCAGCTAGCTCTGATTTGTTTTTATAACTATATAGTATATAGGCTAATCATGGGGATGAGCATAGAGTTTTAAAAAATATAAAAAACTTTGGTTCCAGCCTCCAGTTAAAGTAAAGCAAAATTTTTGGGGTGAATTTCCACCACAATTTTCTTTGTAACTTTTGACAAAGTAAAGCTACAGAAAAACCCTTTGCTCATCCCCAGATACTCTTTGAAAGCAATAAACATTGAAAATTTCAAGTCAATTGGTTAAATCCTCTATGAGATATGTTTTCTAGAATGCGCAAAATGCACATTTTGAGAAAAGTGCGATTAAAGTTAAAAAGCTAAAACGAAGATTGTCTGCACAAATTTGCATGGCTATGAACTATCCAATATCATAGCAAATGTTTCTTTCAGTCACTTAGAAGCCTCCAGGTTCATAGGTATCACCATCAGCCTCCCGTAGGGCATCTTCTCTGCGTGTGCGCCTCATTTGCTCTCCTTGCCGGCGCTTCTTTTCTTTAGCAGAGGTCTGAAGGTCCGATTTTCTCAACCGCCTCTTGTCCTTTTCTTCTGAGGCCTTCTGAGTGTACTCCCCTGCTGGAATTGCCAGTCTCTGCATTATTCTTGCTCTGCTGGCAGCTCCACTATGAAAATGGCACACAGTAGAAGCAACTGCACATCTAATGACCTTGGCACCATGATGCTTGTGTTTTGGGCAGCGTGCCCACACCAGTCCGTTGATGCATTCATTGCGATTTTGGGTGGCGCCACGCACACACCTTTGGAGCAGCTTAGTTTCACTAAGTGTGATGAATGTTGGCTTCAGCAGTTCAAAGAACACTTCAGGCAAACAGTCACCTGCTTCATAAGTATTTGTTCCAGTAGCACAATCTTGTTGCCATTTACACCAGGAATCCTCACCAACAGGGCAGAAGCGATGTTGTTTAGCAGCATCTTGTGACTGGACACTGTGATGGAGGATGGCAATGATATTTTTCTTCATGGTGTAAACAGCAACATCAACCTCTCTTTCTGTTAGGTTTGCTTTAGTTAGGGTGTTTTGTCTAATGGCTAGACCATAGTACTTCTGAAGGCGTTTAATGCGGCTCTCAGTCAGTCGGCCCCGTCCTCCAATGGGTTTGCCATCTGCAAGTTTACCTTTGGTTCTTGCTTTAAGATTAAGTAGGTGCTTGCCCATGCGTTTTTGCACGTGCCCAACACAATCCAGCTTTTCCACCTTGCAGTCATCGCCATATATATTCTCCACAGTATTGAATGCCTTACTGTCTCCGTCAGAAACCATCCATTTATACCTTATTTTATGCAGTTCCACAGATCTACTCCAAACAACTATGGCACCCTCAGCTTCCATTGCAGGTGAGCTTCCATTAAAATTAATGTCACACTCATTGGAAGCAAGATGCTCAATCTGCCATGCTTCGAACTCCTCGTCAGTTTGACACTGAGACCTTTTCATGGTACATTTCCCGCATTCTTTTGAAAGGACATGATAGTCAAGAACCTCTCCAGTGTCTACAGATATAACAAAAACAACTCCAGTCAGAGAGGTAAACCCCCTTTTCGCCCATGTACCATCAAACGAAACGGCTGCATCGACTACATCATCATTGACTTCATCTCCACTTTCCTTCAGGATGTACTCGCGAACTCTTATCCCTGCCTGTGTCATTTCATCTTTGGCTTCAGCTTCTAAAGCCTCAAGTATTGTGTCTACTTGTTTGTAATAAGCAGGTAGTGATAGACATGGCATGTTCATGATGCTGCAAAAGGTTACTAGCCCTTCATAGCCACCTCCTGTCTCCAGAGAATGATAGACTGCACGACGATTTACGTCAAAAGATTGCCCTTTCTTTGTTATTGTATCTGATGTTTTCAATGGTGTAGCTTCAAGGCAGGAGCTACACTCCACAGAGAGGTCTGCCATTAGCCCATTTCTCCCAGAAGAATTCTCCTTCAGAGTTAAACTCCCTAGAACATAATAACAGTATAGACTAAAGTTATTTTGTGCATTCTCATACATGTATATGAGTCACAAAATTTATTGACCACATACCACACAACAGACAGTTACAACTGTAATTTTTAATCAATGAAAACAATAAAGATAGTACTGAAGAGAAGTAAAAAAACATTCTTAGAGAAAAAAATGAAAACTGCACACTGTTACTAGCATATGCTACGAGACGTGAACAGTAAAGAAAAGGTTAAAAGTAAAACAGATGTTCACTTATGTTTTCTCACCTTCCTCGCACACATGTGCTTCAGACAACGTGGCATATAATTTCTTGAGGTCTACAAGTCTGTATCCCTCTCCCTGAAAATCATTTACATCAGAAATCTTTGATGAACTATCTGGTGAATCTTCTGGTCTCATTTTGAGTCTCGAAGCACTGATGGAAGCACTTTCGGCATCTGACAGAGCCTCATCACACGATGAACTCGATGCTGAGTTTGTGACTTCTCTATCCGCACGCGGCATTTTCTTCGCTTTCTTTGCGTATCTCTGCACTCCAGTAAAAGGCTTTCCTTTCCGCTTTCTTCTATATACAGTATTCTTCTTCCCTCCTGGCATTTTAGACAAAAACTTCGCTGATATAAAACTCGAATCTCGCTCTCACAGTATCTCCACAGTTGAAAACACGCCAGCTTTCAATCCCACGCCACCTCCGACTAGCTATACTTCATGTAACCCCANTTAGGACTAACACTTGGGAAGTATAGACAAAGGTACATGTAATGTGTATATTGAATGTCCTGAGCCTTTTCTTTACAATTACTAGTTCTTGTTCAGAAACCAAAGCTCTTGATATTGGTAATCTCATTTCTCTACTGACAAGATTTAAACTTAATGTCATTATATTGGATAATAATTTCTCTGTTTTGTTTCAAAACTGTATTATTTTGGTGAAAACAAATCAAACTTGTACATACATACCCAGTATTTATCTATTGTACCAATTTAAACTAACATTTAGAACATCATACTAAATGTTCATCAAGGATGTGCTGTAAACAATCATTATATTAGGATTAACCATAACATTGGAAATGTCAAAAGGGTAATGTCTAAATTAAATTTTCTGTTCTTTTTTTTTTTTTTTTTGATAAGATATTAAAGTTTATGGTATTGGTAATTTTATCTCTCTACTGACAAGAATTTAGACTCAAGGTCATTAAATTAGATTACAACTTTAATAATACAACCAACCATACTTCCACACCATGCCTGAACGCTGCCGACGTCTTCGGTCTAACAATCTCTTGGTATGCTAGTGCATTCAAAACTGCTTCCAAATCATACATTCTGTAGGAAAACTTGCGGGTACTTTCATGATGTATGGGCTGCTTGTAATGCTTTACAAGGGGGACTGCCGAGGGTAAAAAGTAGATGTTCCAAATGAATCTTTTTCACGTGGACGTCATGTAACTGTTGCCATCCAGCTAAAATAATAAAAAGACGAAAAGAATGGAGGTTACACCAATCAGACACTTTTATTTGACTACTATACAAGAAATTTATGCTGGTGCGGTAACCGGCGAAACGCTTGGTAAATAAACGATTTCGCGTAAGCGTTTGCTTGTTTACTTCTTTGTCAGTTCTACTTTAGAACGGTAGTGCCGTATGCAAATTTTACTGGACTTAGAATCTCCATCAATTCAAATTCTCACCTTTAACGCTTGGAGTCAAGGATCCAATAATTTGGTCAGCTGCTAGTGCCAGCCACAGTTTATAGTGAGGCAGCTCTTCCTTCCCCAATTGTTTAGCATTTGGCTGGTTCACGAGCGCTTGTCCTTGCGAGTCGCTGAATATTCCACTTTGATAGGGATGCGGAGCGTGGCTATATTCGTGATGCTTCCTCGCGGAATATCCCGTCTTAAATCGCTTGTTGCACCTACGGCAACTGATCGTGAACGCCATGACAGGACAATAAAGTGGCAACCGATTGTTAAGACTGACACGCACGTGCTGTTTTCTCGGTAGCTATGACAACAAACAATTGTCAATTGAACACATATATAGAATTAGTCATTAAGAAAGACGATATCCGTGCTCTAGTCTGTCTGCTCCAAATGAGGATTTAGGCTTCTTGTGTACTTGTGACTTTTAGTATTGATGGCAGATAATTAAACAATATGAATACCAATTTTTAATACCTGGTACAGTTAAATTTTAAACAACAAGCCATTTATCAGCATGATAAACACTTTAATAATACTGCGCCTCATATTATAGTTAATTTCTTAACACAGAGAGCTGGTTTTAAGCCACTGCGTCTTTGTAGTATTCACGATTTTTTGTCCTAACTGGAACTGTTTGCTTCACATCGGAAATGAAATAAGATTTGAACAATCAATTGTTCGCGCACTCCAACTGCTCGCACAGTTCATTAATTGTTGGTCTCTGCGAAGAATTACAGCGAAGACATGATCGATAAAGATTAAAGAAGATCTTCGGGAAGATTACAAACTTGTATTTCAACTCTCTCACTAGGAATTCTAATGAATAAATGTCCGTTTTCTTGCTCTGTTTGCCGTTCAGTTGTCCTAGCTCAGGTGCAAGGTGCTTAAATCTCTTTGTGTCTGCGGGCTTTTGGTATGATTTAGGGCTGCTTTGGTCCCTAGCTTTCCCAAAGTCCACCAGCACAGCTTCTGCCTCTGCCAAGCTATGTCCATCCAGAACGACGTTGTTTGACTTAATGTCATTGTGAAGGATCTTTACTTTGTCGTTGTNAAAGAGACAAGGGGCCCAGAAAATATCGAAAACCGTCTGACTCTGCCATTAGCCCATTTCTCCCAGAAGAATTCTCCTTCAGAGTTAAACTCCCTAGAACATAATAACAGTATAGACTAAAGTTATTTTGTGCATTCTCATACATGTATATGAGTCACAAAATTTATTCACCACATACCACACAACAGACAGTTACAACTGTAATTTTTAATCAATGAAAACAATAAAGATAGTACTGAAGAGAAGTAAAAAAACATTCTTAGAGAAAAAAATGAAAACTGCACACTGTTACTAGCATATGCTACGAGACATGAACAGTAAAGAAAAGGTTAAAAGTAAAACAGATGTTCACTTATGTTTTCTCACCTTCCTCGCACACATGTGCTTCAGACAACGTGGCATATAATTTCTTGAGGTCTACAAGTCTGTATCCCTCTCCCTGAAAATCATTTACATCAGAAATCTTTGATGAACTATCTGGTGAATCTTCTGGTCTCATTTTGAGTCTCGAAGCACTGATGGAAGCACTTTCGGCATCTGACAGAGCCTCATCACACGATGAACTCGATGCTGAGTTTGTGACTTCTCTATCCGCACGCGGCATTTTCTTCGCTTTCTTTGTGTATCTCTGCACTCCAGTAAAAGGCTTTCCTTTCCGCTTTCTTCTATATACAGTATTCTTCTTCCCTCCTGGCATTTTAGACAAAAACTTCGCTGATATAAAACTCGAATCTCGCTCTCACAGTATCTCCACAGTTGAAAACACGCCAGCTTTCAATCCCACGCCACCTCCGAATGTCCCAGGTTTCAGGGTTCACTGTTGGTACAGTGACCTTGTCACAGTTTGATGCACGGTCCTATTTTTCAAGTTTCTCCTTGCACTTCCCGTCATCAAGTTTAACTGAGAAACATTTGTTCACAATTCTGCCAGATTGGCGGTTACAGCCTCACGTCTTCTCTTCGGCATCGTAGTCCTGACTAATGTTGCCGAGCAAGCTTGTTGAGGGGTCCTCGGCTTCGCTTAAACTTTTCAGTGATGCCTGCTCTTGGTGAGTATGAGTGATCTGAAGCAAACGCGCTAGAATCTACCGAGTTGGCCAATTCATCCCCAGACGCCTCATCGCTGAGCTCATTGTGACGAGTAGTAGTGATTTTCATCTTTTAGCATTAGGTGATGCTGTGTCAGCATGCATTCTTTTCAAAGCATTTTCCATTGAGGAAGTGTTTCCCGCCATCACTGCCAAAGTCTGATTCATGTTGGCGATCATAGTGGCGAGCGAGTCGCTCTAGTTCTTGGTCTCTTCTGTGTTTTCTGCTGCATTGGTCAATTCCATGTCGACTCTCAAAAGGACGTCTTCATCTTGGCAGTAATCTTTCTCTTGTTCTGTGGACATAGTGGATAAAAGGATTGAAAAACTGCAGAATTTGCAAGATAAACTGAATCTCCCAAAGATCACACACAATTTATCTCCCAGGTTCATGCGCTCTCTCACGTGACTCCGAAGCGACCAATGACCAATGATGAAGTAGAATATAGTTTATTATGAAGGAACTTCACTAAAGGAGCAAGTAATCTCGAATGCATGAGAAATAATCGTTTCAGCATGAGAGTGTGAGATTGAATTTGTTTGCGTGAGTCTCACGATGAATGCACGAGACTTAAGAGCACTGGGACTATCATGACAATAGATTACATTACTTGAACCAGATCAAATCTCACCTAAAGATCTAAACTGGCAGAGGGATCTCTTATCCAAGGCTTATTGAGGTCTTAAAAAAGCGCAAGGATTGTTGTAAGTTCCCCCAGCAGTGGAAAGAATCTTCAGTTATGCACATCTTTAAAAAAGGGAATAGACTGGACCCTAACAATTTGCAACCAATATCTTTGCTTACCACTCAAGGGAAACTACTCGAGAGGGTAGTATGCAAGTCTTTAGTTGATCTTACTATTTCTTTAAAAGTGTAGTGTGATCGTCCAGGTGAGTGTACTACTGAGAAGGATCATTGTCAGTGGTGGTGACTGATATTTTGACAACCTGTGGGGAAGTCATCAGAGTCGAGTGAATAGTTGTTAGTAGAATGTTCTTAGTCTGGTGCGTGTAAAGTGATTGGTCAGTTTTGCCGTGATGTTATTGGCTCTAAGACTCAAGTGGCATAAGTCAGTAGTGATTGGTCGGTTTCGATCCATTCGTAAAGTCAAGTCCTTCTGTTCGGTTTGTTTGTAATGTCAATGTGGTGAATGAGTCGTTTGTATGGAGCCGATAGTAGTTGACACCTGTTTAGGGGAGTTTTTTAAGTTAGTAAACCAGCTTTCCAGAGTCAGTTGTTGAAAGTAGTTAGTGCTGTAGGTTAGGCATTGTGCAGAGTTCCCAGTCAATATTGTGGTTCATAAGTCGATGATGCTCAGCAATGTGATTGTTGCCATCACCTTTCCTTGTAGCCCATCTGTGTTCAGTCAGTCTTGTTGCAAGGCTTCTGCCAGTTTCTCTGATGCAGGAGGCTTGGCAGTCGGAGCAATTGATCTTATGAATTGCTCCCTGTCTGTTCCGCTGTTCATCCTTGTCTTTAATGTTGGTTAGTAACTGATATAATGTAGTGATGGGTTTGTGGGCGACACGGATATTGAAGGGTTGTAAGATGCACAAGATGTTCTCAGGCATGCCTTTTATGTATGGTTGCTGTGGTTGTTGGAGTTGCAGTGTCATTTGTTTTGGTAGTAGTAGGTCAGTGAGTGTTTCATTGGATGAAGTCGTCATTGTAGTTATTCTGTGAAAAAACACGGTAAAGGTGTTTGTTCTCGTTGGATATGCTGTCTGTCGTGTTGCATACTAGTTGCGCACGTCATGTTAGAGTTCTAATAATTGTGGCTCTGTGTGATATAGGGTTGTAGGATGACTCGTTTAGTAATCTGCTAGTGTGCATCAGTTTCTTGTAAATTGTCGTCCATAGTGAGATGTCGTCACGGCTTACCAGAAAGTCTAGAAAGGAAGTTTGCCATTTTCTTTGACCTCTCGGGAAAACTGTGTGTCTGTGTTTTGTCCATAAAGGTGGTGGTGGAATACATCGATTTCATCGAGTCATACGGTGGTGAATGTCTCGTCAACACAGTGTAACCAAAGCGGTATCATTTCTGGGCAGGTCGAAAGGGCCCTTCGACTTGCCCTGAAACAATACCGCTTTGGTTATGCTACATTGACGACATATTCACTGTCTTACAACACGATAAAATTGACGCATTCCACCACCACCTTGACAGAAAAAAATACTGACATACAGTTTACAAGAGATATTAAAGAAAATGGCAAACTTCCTTTTCCAGACTGTCTGGTAAGCCATGACAACAACTCACTACAGACGCCGGTTTACAGGAAACTGACACACACCAACAGATTACTAGACAAGTCATCCTACAGCTCTACATCCCACAAAGCCACAACTATCAGAACTCTAACATGATGCGCACAGCTAGTATTCGACACAACAGACAGCTTATCCGACAAGAACAAATACCGTTCACTGTGTATTTTCAAAGAACAACTACAACAATGACCTCATCCGACGAAACACTCACTGACTTGCTACCACTACCAAAACAAACGGCACTGAAACAAACACGACTACAGCAACCATAACATACATAAAAGACATGTCTGAGAATGTCTCGCGCATCTTGCAACCCTTCAATATCCATGTCACCCATATTTAGTCAGTTACTAACTAACGTATCAGACAAGGACGAACCGAGGAACAAGCAGGGAGCAATTAACGAGATCAATTGCTCTGACTACCAAGCCTTCTACATCAGAGAGACTGGCAGAACCTCACAACAAGACTGAAGGAACACAGATGGGCCACAAGGAAAGGTGATGTCAACAATCACAGTCCAGAACATCATCAACTTATGAACCACAATATTGCCTGGGACTCTGCACAATGCCCAACCTATAGCACTAACTACTTTCAACGACTGACTCTGGAAGGCTGGTTTATGAACTTTGAACAGACTCTCCTAAACAGGTATCAACCACTACCTGCTCCACACAAATGACTCATTCACAACACTAACATTACAAATGAACCGAACAGAAGGACTTAACTTTATGAACGGATCAAAACCGACCAATCACTACTGACTTATGCCACTTGAGTCTTACAGCCAATAACATTATGGCAATAGTAAGAAAACTTGCCATTATTTTACTGCAACCTTTAGTCTTCGGCTGCAGACTCAGAATATTTGAGGATTTTCTTGTCACTGTCCATAACTTTGGAGTGGCACTTGTTGTGGGTTCATTAAGATTGAACTTAGTTAATTCATTCTGGTGGGAATTGCAGCTTCAATTGTTTTTTTTTTCTCTAATACAACATCTCAATCTACGGTATCCTTGATCTGTCAGCCTCATTTATTGCGCTTTTTCTGTTAAAGTGTAAAGGTTTGCACCACTAAATTCTTTAATGGCAACATTTGATATTTTGTAACATTGCCCTGAGTTTATGTTACTTGCATCCTGTTTCCACAAGACCAGCTGAAGAGATCCACTGCTATCTGTAAACAGGACTTCTTGTTTAGTCAAAGTTTTTCTCTGAACAGTTTCCGCAGCAGCATGAAATAAAATACAGCCAGTAATGTTGACCAGGGTATTATTTTTTTTCTGGACCTTGAATATCCTCTTCTGAGCTGTCTATTGCTTTCATGGTTTCCTTGTTTATTTGCTGAAGGGCAAAATCTGTCTCACTTCCCATGGGATCTTGAAGTTTTGTTATTTTGTTGAATCAATTCTTCCTTTTTGCCGTCATATGGTTTTCCTTTAGTTGGAACTTCTGTATTTTAACAGGCGATGAAAACTCAAATGTGCACTTGAGCACTGAATGCTTCTCTGTGGAGAAGTACACAGCACAATTTACTTTATTGTTTGTTTGGAAATTTTGCAAGAAATATTGATTCATGTTTTTGCTGGTCTTTATAGGCGACAGGTTATCTAAATAACCAACCATGTTTTGTTCTGAAATGAAAGGACTAAATGATTGAATTTGCATTGTTAGTGATGAGATCAAAGGCTGGTATACAGCGAATTATGGCATACAAAAAACAGAAGCCAAGGGATAAAATGCAAAAGTCGTAGACCCCCATGTTAGAGCAGATCACCAGTGGTACTTAAATGAAAATAATGATGCAAATTAAAAAATGGTAGAAAAAGATATAAATATCAAAAAAATAAATACACTAAGAGAATAAACTAATCCATGAACTAAGACTTTAAAATAATTTGTGCTTGTTGCCTCAAGTATGAATCGTTCATACTTGCATCACCTAAAATGGAATTATTTAGAGAGAATTGTAATAGGCCCTTTGCAGCTAGGAGGTCACGTGCCTAGCAACGCCGAATTGGAGAGCAAGCTCTTCTGCGACGACAAATCGAATGAGTGTCTTGAGCATCACGCGTATGTATATCTGAAAGGCGGTTATTTTGAATTCAAGCGGTAAATACCATTCCATCTCTCAAAATCCAGTAAGTTTAGCATATAAATATAGCTTTTAGCACATCTTCAAATCGGAAAGGTTAATATTAACTGGGATCGCGGCAAGAATATCAGCGTCAAGTCGACTACGAGTTACAAACATGGCTTCTCCTCCAGGTATGTAGAATAGATCTTGTCTTCTTCCTGCACTTTGATAGCGACGTTTGGACGATTAATACAAGTAAAAAGAAAGAAAATACAGTAATTCACTACGCCTTAGGGTTTAGAAGCTGTTTACTTTTGAAAAACATAGAATTTTGGCTGCTTATTCCCCTCAAGACTATGGTGTCGGAACCAACAAGCGTTGTTTTCATTGTTGTAGATATCGATATGGACGAGTCAGTTGAACAATCCATTACGGGCAGAAAAAATTCTGCATACCATTGCTGTGTTCCCCTATGTAATGGGGATTCAAGGTACCACGAAGATTTGCGTTTCCATCGCATTCCCGGTCGTACCAAGGATGAAAAGTTGAAGAAGGAATGGCTGGTGAAAATCCGAAGAGACGAAGGTCCTGACTTCAAGGTATTTTATAGAGACATTTCGATTTTCAAAGCATTTGGCAAGGATTTGTTCGGTCAACTTGTGTCTAATGGCTTATAAATTTTCCCATTTAGATAACAACTAGTACGAGAGTATGCTCAAGGCACTTTACCAAGGAAGATTACCTTCCCCCCACCAAGTCTGGTAGCCAGCGACTGAAAAGAGGTGCTGTTCCATCGAATTTTAACTGGAATTCCTCCTTCAAAGCACGAAGAAAGATTATTCGACATGTCGACAGGTAATATATTCTTTGGTTATGTTTTAATGCATCGTTGAGTTTATGAGGTTACAATGATAAGTCTAGACTAGAATGCTTCTTTCTTATTTTTAAATACTGTATCAGTTTTGGATAAATATTAACTGCTATTGAAAGCATTTGTGAAACCTTGTAGAAGGGATGTATGGTTAAAAAGTATATATACAGACCTCAGGTTCTTCAATTTCTAGAAGGATGTAATTGTTTTAAAATTTAAAATTATGTAAACTATATGAGTATATTAAATTTTTTGGCTTTCTTTGCAGAGATACTCAAACAGATGATAGTGACACTGATGGAGTGGAAAGTGAAGCAATGCAAAGCAGGGAAAGTGTGGAAACAGAGGTGCAGTCTCTGAAGGCTCAGCTTCTGGCCATGCATGGAGAGCTTGAGGCGAGCAGAAAGGAAGCAGCTGCAGCTAAAGAAGAGCTAAGAAATGTCAAGGCTAAAGCAACATTAAGTAAATTTGGTCTGGAGAGATTTGGTCCAGACAACGAGAGTATAAAATTTTACACTGGCTTTCCCACAAATGAACATATTAAGCTTTTTTTTAATTTTATTAAACCCAGTGCTGAACTAATGACCTACTGTTATGCCTCTGGAGAGAGAGAAAACAGACCAGCCTCCAGAAATATGCTTCTAATAGATGAAATGTTTATGTTTCTTGTTCGGCTTAAACTTGGATTATTT